ACCAGTACCCGGCACTGGGAATTAGTGGAGTTATCTGGCAGTGTGCCCCTCAGAAAACCTAGTTCCAGATCACAGAGTGAGTGCTCCCAGGGTACCGGGAACCCACAACGGAATGTACAGAACGCATCTGCAATTCAGCCTCTTTTACTGAGAATTCCTTTGTAGCTAAACCAGGAAGAAATCTGGCTCCTTCTAAAGAACTGCTTTTCTCAAGTCTTCTTTGAACATCCAAGTCTCTTCTATCTTAAGAACTTTTATTCAAATCATAGATTCTGAACTGGATGTTCACGAACCCCTGAGAATTATATGCGAAATTGTGTGGGTGCTTTTTCCTAAGGTAAGCATCTATGTGGGTTTTTTTTTTTTTTTTTTAAATCAGATTCTCCAAAGAATGTGTGACCCAGATGAGGTTAAGAACTGTTGCTTTCCAAGCCAAGGTCACACGTCTATTTCCCCTTGACCTTTGTGTATCTCTCTGACCACATTTTGAAGTTCAGAAAATAGGCATCTGTTCAAATGAAAAGGACTATTCTGTGCACTGAATTAGAGCCTTAAATACCTGAACTGCACGCCTGACACCTCTTCCACAGATTCAGTGGATGACAGCACGTTACCGTTCTGTGGGAAAGCTCGATGTGGCATCTGTCACCTTGTGGTCACCTTCAGTCACAGTATGTGAGCAGGTTGGCTCTCCTGCTTGAACCTCCATCAGCTTACCTTGACACAGACGGTGCATAGTATACAGCCATCAGAGGTGCATTGTATCATTCGACCCTCCCCACAACCCCATGAGAAATGAAGACAGATATTCTTGGCCCCGTTTCATAGATGCGGAAGGGAAGCTTAGAGAGGATAATGGCGGGGCATGGTCCTGCTGGCACTTATGCAGCACAGGGTGCTGACCACAATTCTTTCAAAAAGTGTCTTTCATTAAAAAAAACAATTACAAGACACTCATTTGTGTTCTTATGCTCTGTTAAGGATTGAATTGTCTCCCCCTTCCAAAAAAACACACACATTCCTATACTGAAGACCCCCCTCTGCCTTACGCACTTCAGAATGTGGCCTTCCTTGGAAATAGGGTCAATGCAGATGTGATGAGTAAAGAGGGGTCATACCAGAGGAGGGTGGGCTCCTATCCAATAGAACTGGTTTGCTTTTCAGAAGGGGAAACTGACACAGACATGCACACAGGGAAACGTCACGTGAAGATGAAGGCAGGAATGATGGCGAGGTTCCACAAGCCAAGAATTGCCCAAATTGCCAGCCACCAGGAGCAGCGCGAAGGCGTGGGATAGATCCTCCCTCACAGCCCTCAGCAACAGCCAACACCTTGATCTTGGACTTCAAGCCTCCAGAACTGTGAGATGATAAGTTTTTGTTGTTTGTGCCACCTAATTTGTGCTCCTTTGTCATAGCAGCTCTAGCTGCTAATATATAGTCTATCCCACACTTTTTAAAAACCGAAGAAAAACAGGAACCCTTGCTTGGTATAAGATATTAAAATGAAACAGAAAGATGTAGAATCAAATGTGAGATGCCCACCCCACCCCCACCATGCAAATACTGCCCCCTCCAAGCATAACCATGGTTATATTGGGTAGCTACCCTTCCAGAAGCTTTTCTATGCATTTACATAAATACATAGCAATAGAGACCCTCATATGTACTTTTAAACTCAATTTTTTCTATTTTGCAGTTTTAACTACCTGTTATCTTTCTCTCAGATACCGGAGATAATGTTTATTCTTCTAATAGTTGTTAGTTAGAACTGTATTTTCGCTTCAACAATCTTTCAAGTGTGTGTGTGTGTGTGTGAATAATCATTCCCAGGAAGAGAGAAAAATTCAAACAAAAGGATCTCCATGAGTCAACACATTGCAAAAGCTTTTAGAAATTGCAAAAATGGATAGACTTGCTTTGCATCCAGCCCACAGCCAGGCACTGGGCCAGAGGTACGCAGTGCAAGTTCTGTGAGATGTTCCCTACTCTGCTCAGAGGGTAACTCACGCTCCCACATAAACACAGGTGGCTGCTGTTTACCTACAGAGACCTGACCGCCACTCTTCAAGCTCCACCTGCTAAAAATAGAGCTTTCCCACAGCCTAGACAAGGTGTCACTCTCTCTTCCTAGCATCTTAGACATTTCTGCTGTTTAAGGACAAAGCAAAACCAAAAAAAACACACCGTCTCCAGATAGCCATTGGTGCAGAGCCCATGTGGTGCGTGGGAGAGAGAGGGAGCCTTGGGCTCAATCTGCACAAGGAGGGGACGCTCAGGGTCAGAGAGGAAGTTACCGGTCACGTCCCACAGCACCAGGAGCCTGTTCCCTCACCTGGGTTCTTTCCACCTCACTCACCACAGTCCTTACCTGCCTCATTCCCTGAGCACCAAACATACAAGGCATCCCTGCATAATAGCTGAGGTTGGAAATATGTCATTCGGTTTTCTGCTCATGGACAATAAAGCATTAGAAGAGAGAGAGGGCCACAGACAGGAGGCTGGGGCAGAGAAGAGGACCAAAAGGGATAGAAGAAAAGAAGCGAAGCTATGCAAAAGGAGTGGGGTACAAGAATGCGGGGAGAAGTAAGCAGAAGGGCTGTGGACACAAGGAGTCTTGGCCTCTGTGGTAGCCAGGCTCCCAGGTTGGCTCTGTGATGGTAAATTTTATGTCAACCTGGTTAGGGCCTGGTATCCAGTTACTCGGTCAAACATCATTCTAGATGTTGCTGTTGAAGGTGTATCTTGGGTGATATTAACATTTCAATCAGTAGACTTTGACTAAAGCAGATTACTTCTCATAATGTGGGTGAGCCTCATCTAATCGGCTGAGGTCTTAATAGAAAAAGACTGACCTTTCCCTTGGGGAACCCAAGCAAGGAGAAAGGCTACCAGCAGACTGCCTTTAGGGTCAAACTGTAATTCTTCCTTGGATCTCCAGTATACTGGCCTCCCACACAGATTTTACACTTGTCAGCCTCCATAATCATACACATCTTCCTTAAAATCAATAAATCTCTGTCATACGTATATGACAGAGATTTATATATATATATATATATATATATATATATATATATATATATATATATATATATATATATTTGGCTGTGTATAGCCATGCCACTTCTCATGTCCAAAGTTAAGGCTTATTTCTCTTCTCCTTGAACCTGGCTGGCCCTATGATTGCTTTGACGAATAAAATATGACTTCTAAGTCCAGGCCTTAAGAGACTTGGAACTTTCACTTCCTTCCTCTTGGGATGCTTGCGCTTGGCCTGCTCCCTCTTGGAGCCCAGCCACCAGGATTTGGACTCTAGCCATATAGAGAGATTATGTGGAATAGTAGTAAATAGCTCCCATTGAGAATTCATCACCATCTTGGGTTTTCCAAAACCAGATGAACCCTCAGATGACTGGTGGGGCCTTCTGGGGGTCACATGACATCACATGGAGCAAAAGAACTGCCCAGTTGAGCGCAGTCAGCCCACAGCATCATGAGAGATGAAATTATTGTTGTGTTAAGCCACTGAATTTTGGGCTGGTTTGTTACACAGCAGTGGATGGCCTACCTTAAAATGTAACCTAAGGTATATGCACTTCGTCTACTAACAGCTCAGTTTTTCAGGGTGGCTTTGTCTGTGCCCCATAAGAACCCAGTAGGGATCCCAGAGAAACGTTGCCCGTATTTTCAAGCCCAGGATGCCCCTTCCTTAGGTCTTCAGGCAGTTACAGTCAACCCTGCCGGAGCCCCAGCTTAAGAAAAATCACACTACCACATCGTCTGCACTTGACCTCACCAGGTAAAAACTACTTCTCCCACTCTGTTTTCCAACAGCCAATGATTTGTTCGTTAAAAGACAAAACAGCACTGGACTGGTTTGATTCTGAACCCTCTGGCATGTAGAACAGTGTAATAGTGTTGTTAGGATGGAGGCAGGAACTTTACCCTGGAGTCATCTGAATTAACTCCACTGTTATTTTCTTGGGAGGAACCTGGCCGTAATGGCTTCTTGCAACACTATATTACACTGCACTGCCCAAGGTCATTATCAAGCCAAACCACAGTGGAAGTGGGCCAGATTGGTCATAAACCTCACTTCATGACCTACCACAGGAATGTCCTCCATCTCTCAAGAAGGAGATTCATTCCAGTCCTATTAGAAGTTTGATGTTAAGACCTGGCAATAATGATAAGACCTTAACAATAGGGATTTAATTGAAAGAATATAAGAAATGTGTTACTTCCACTGTAACAGCGTCTAAAATTTATGCTCTACATTCACTTGTGTAAAAAAATGTGGTCTATCTATCTACTCCTATAAACCATCTGCCATTTCTCAGGGTTACCTTATTGATTAGTTGCAAGGATGAGGGCAATGGAAGGTTCAAATACCAAGTCTGAATTTGCCATGAGCGATGGAAATACAGTCTCTTTCAGTTTGGGCCACCTATCTTACTCTCTTAAAGGACTCGGCTTCTCCTCCCTCCTTCTGTTTTTGGGGACCAGGCAGCAAGCCTGACCTGAGGGTCTCTCATTGTTCTGCTAGGAGTAAGGCCACTAGTCCTGTGTCTAGACTGATGGCCACAAGTGCGTGTCTGGTTCCAGACATTTTTCCTGTTCCTAAACTCTCCAAGCTGCTCCCAAGACATGCCTTTCTCTGTGCTCCTGTTTGCCAAAGCATACAGGACCTTCTGACCCCCAGAAGGCCCCACCAGAAAAGCTGCCCCAGCTCATCCAGGCAGTGCCTTTGCTAGCAGTTCTGTGACATTGTGCCCTTCCATGCCAGCGGGGCCTGGACACAGGTCTTCTCCGAGGCTTGCCGCCCTGCTCCGCCTCTCCAGAGGAGAATGCCACCAGCCCTCCACCTTTGGTGACGCTAGATTCCCTTTCATCTGGTTGTTTTTTTTTCTTTTTTGTTTTTTCTTTCTTTTTTGTTTTTTTCTTCAGCTGTTGTTTATTGCCATGTAGGCCTAGAGGCATCTGCAGGGGTGGGGCTAATAAAGGTGGAGGATGGAGTTTGTGTGCAGTGACAGCTGAGTGGGGTGCAGGAACAGAGGTGCACAGTGCACAAGATGGGAGTGGGAGAGGCTGAGGGGATTGAAGAAGCAAGTGAAGGCCAGGGCCAGAGTCTGCTTAAACTGGAGCCACTGCCCTCTCTAGCCAGCCATCTTCTGACCCAGGCCAGGCTTGGAGTTCTCTGAGTGTCCATTTCTACAGGAAGTGATTGGAATGCACAGAGGAGAAGCAGGAGCTATTGCCCTCTATGTTCAGCTTTGGAGCCTCCAGTCCTGCACCCCTGTCTGTCTTGCATCTGGTTGTTTTTCTATAGCTCCCTGGAGGACCCACTCCTAGGGGGTCACAATGAGACACACCCATGTCTAAGCTCTTCCCTACCATTGCCTCCCAATTGACCAGGGCTGGCAGAAGTATGCTTTCTGCTATCTCATCATAACTGGGTTCTCTTCATGCTACAGAACAGGAGTTGGCACACTTTTTTCTATAAAAGGGCCAAATAGTAATTATCCTAGGCTTCGTGGGCCTGTCACAACTGCTCAATTCTGCTGTTGTAGAATGAAAACAGCCATAACAGTATGTCAGTGAATGAGTCTAACTGTGCCCTAATAAATCTTTGTTTGCAAAAAGGGGAGGTAGGTTGGATTTGGTCTGTAGTCATTGTGTGCCAGCGCCTGCCGTGGAAGAAACCAGTAGAGCTGAGTACTCCAGGCACAGATCTTGATAAGGAAGTGTGGTGAGTTAGAGATGGACACATTTTTTTTTTTTACACCTTTGCCATCAAATGGTGGCTCTCTGAAGCCTCACTCAGGGAGCGTGTAATTGCTTAGACCAAAAGACTACAGTGGACGTGGCAATAAACCCATTTCTGATTCAGTCCTTGAGAGTTTGGGAGCTCCCTCTTTCAGACTCTTGGAACACTCTTGAAATTCTGAACTGTCACATAAAACTCCCAGTTACCACCTTGGCCATGTAGGTCAGTTGGTTAGAGCATCATCCTGATATGCCAAGGTTGTGGGTTGGATCCCCGGTCAGGGCACATACAAGAATCAACTAATAAATGCATAAATAAGTGAGCAACACATCAATGTTCCTCTTAAACCAATAAATTACTAGAAAAAAATTTTAATCCCAATTACCCATATGGAAAGGCCCTGAGATTATACAGAAATGAGAGGGGTACAGTGGAACCCAGCCTTCCAGCCGCCCCTACCAACATGCCAGGCATTTGAGTGGTATGGTCATGGATCCTTTAGGGAAGCCCTGTTGCCACCTATTTCCACCGACTGTGCCAGCCCAAGCCAGAGGAGGCAGAAGAACCACCCCACTAAGCCCTGCCCACACTCATGACACACAAGAATGAATGTTCTTTGAATTCGCTAAATGTGGGTGCATTGCCTTAGCAGATTATGGATGAAAAGCCACTGGAATAACTAAAATACTAGTATATTTATTATTCTTGTTCCACTTAAAATCTAACAGAGTCACAGAATCTCATTGTTTCCTCCTCTTGGTTAACGCGAGGTAAAGCTTCAAGCAATCGGCCTCTACATATCAGAGCATGAGAAAATTATTTTTTCCTACCACAAAACACCAGCCTGAAAATTCTGGATGGAAATAAGAGCCAATGCGATTAAACAATAGGTGGTTTGGGAAGTGAGAGGATTTAGCACCGTGTTTGAGGAGGGTTACATCTTTACTGCCGTGTGGGAGATTGCACCTCCCTTGGCATAGTTGTCCAATCCCAGCACACAGCACAAGGTGTGCCTGTCCAAGCATGGCGGGAACAGAAAGGCCTGTCTCCCCTCTCTCTGCTTTTCCAGAAGGAAGGGCTCTTGCTGGGGGGCTCTGTCAGCGCCTGGACGTGCCTTTTGGGTGTAGAATCTGGGCCATGGACACATGGTCCTCAGAGAAAGAATTGTGGGGAGAGTAGACTACACTTCCCAGAGAGTCTGTGCGGGAGCATCAATGGAGGCCTGGGGCGGAGGAGGGGCTGGAGAGAGAATGGAGGAGCCGTGTGGAGGTAGGGGGAAAGCGTGGATGGGAGAGAAAGGAGCAGATTGTGAGCCACGGTGCCACCTCTGTGCGTGGGAGACACTGTGCCGGGGGTGTGGGGGAGAATGTTACAGTGGGCAACCAGGAATGGGGAGATTTTGGAGCGGCAGCTGCCAGTGGAGCTAGTGCCAGTGGAGAGAGGGTTGTGAAGAGGTTTTGTTGGACGATAGGCACACTATCCCCACCCCCAGTTCTTTGGTCTTTTGTAGAAGACAAAATAGCATTGGACTAGTCTGATTATCATCTGGGCCCGTTGTAAACTGAGTCTTTTTCCCCCCTAAAGTATCCCTTAGAAGAGAGGAATCATAGCCAAGTTCCTACAAAGTTTCTCCTATTTGGGGCCCTCTCTCATCTCCTTTATTTTTATGTGCTGTCCAGGGAAGGCAATTGACCTAAAAGATCTCAATCGATACTATTTTTTTGAGCGAGTCTACAAATCACCTGGTGGCATCTAAGGAAAAAGCAAAAATACTGAATATAAATGTAGTTGTTTGTTTTTGGGAAGATCAGCTCCCAATGGCAATGGGTGATATCGTCTGCAGAACATCTTTTATAGATCTTTATAAATCTTCAAATAGATCTTCATATGCCTTTAGAAAGCAAACAGTACTTATGCTCTGGAGATCAAACATAAGCACCCGCAAGATTAATAAAAGGAAAGACATGAGAGCTAACATTATACAAGCAGGTACTTGTGCCTTACGGTAACATTCCCGTGACAGCCTCATTCATGGAATCAGAAAGCATTGATCAGAAAGCATGGAATCAGAGGGAAATTGTGGAAATGACTCAAAAAGTGACTGTAGCCATGTTTTCAGAGATTTTTCTCATTGGGGGAAAGCGGGGGATTTCCTTATATAGGTTTTTTGACGTGGAGACATATAGATAAATGTCTATTTCTTTTGTGCTTTTGAACTTTTCTTTGAATTGACATAGTACATGTACAAAGCCACATCGGGTCTTGGTTCTAGTCAGATTTCACAATATATTCTCTAAGGGCTACCTAACAACACAGTAAAAATAACCATTTTATCTGAATTTCATATATGTTTCAAGAGAAAATATGTTACTTAGAACCTTATTTTATCCCCCCACCCCCAAAGAAATACTTGTTTTTGCACTTCTTGATATGTGTAGACAATTTAGAGTAGACACAAGGTGAAACCTGAGAGTTGTCAATCACATACAAATATACTTCTTGAGATTGGGGCATATTTATGTGGTAATTATTTTAGGTTTCAAGACAAAACAAAACAAAATTTCTTTAATCTTTGTGTTGTTTTGGTACAAGTCGTCATGACTGGAGGGACCCTGCTTTCTATGGCTCTGGCATTGACCTAGAGAAGTCACAGCGAGCACCGTACAGGCCTAGATGCCCACAGGCTGGCTTGGTTTGGCTTGTGCGTTCCTTGTTTGCTTTAAGTTTCCATCAGTTCCCTTTAGGTGGGGTTCACCATAACCCCCATACTCCCTGCTTGCTTTGGCTACCACCTGACTGATCCCTGTGGACCGTTTACTTTATTTTTGGTGAGAGTTTATAGGAATCAGTCCCATAAATTGACCATAAAACCTGCCAGACAACTTGGTTATGCATCAGTTGCCTTATCATTTCCAGATTTACCACCAAGCGGCCTCATAAGAAAAGAGAAAGCATTTTATTGGCTCTCCCTGAGGCTTTCTTAACGTTATGCCTTTAGTTCACTCATCACTTTGGACCTAAAAATAAGATTGCAGCACCCTGGTCACCCCTGCTGGTATTGGATGATTCCCTCCCAACAGAGGCCTCACGTGCTAGAGGATTATGAGATTTGGGTACTCATGCCCGTGAACATCAAAAGGGAGCCTCGGGAAAAAAAGTCAGTAGTGAATAAAGCTCCAATTAGGCATTTCAGACCTCTCTTGGGGGCCTAATGAGAATCTATGGCATTTTTCATCTTCCAGCGCTCATTGTGTATTTCTTTTTCACACTCTGTCAACAAAACAAATAGGTTACAAAGAAAAGAGTTTATGCTGAAAAGACCATGTCAATTACATTAGCGGCCACTCCAATGATATTCCTGTGTATTAGAATTCCTTAGTAAGTCTCCTTCCACTTTTCTAGAAGAGGGGAAAAAAAACCAAAAAACTGGGAAGCAATATTATGTGTTTAAAAATAAAAGCCAGCTGCTCATCACACTTTCAGTGCAGGGCATACAGGAAGTACAATTTTCAGTTTTATTTTCCTTTTTAAAAATTTTCTGTTGTAAGACTAGTATCTGTGTAGATAGATAGATCTGGTGCCTGAAGGTGGGTATTTTTGTGTCCTGTCTCCCTAAATAAAAAAGATACTTAGCACGTTATCTCAGATTTTTACACGAGAGAGGGACTAGACAACACATACACTTTTGAAGACTCGTGCTTTTATTTTTTTTACCAGTTAATAAAAAACACGTTTTAAGCACACACTACTTTTTTAGGGGGAAATATGTAAGGTAGTAGCTATGGTAGGTTGGTTGCAGAAATGGCCCCAGTTCTCTATCCCTCCCCACATCCAAGCCCTTGACAAAGTGACTGTTTTGCTCCTCCCATCAAGAAGGAGATGTTTCCCCGCTCTGGAACCTGGGCTGGTCTCGTGACTGCCTTTGGCCACATGGAGAAGTGGTGTGTGCCCGTTCTCAGCCTCGCCCTCATGAGGCCCCGTGCTTCTATTCTCTCTTGGAACCTGGGCAAGGGAGCTGGAGGAGGAGAGAACACCTGGAGCAGGACCAGCCACCTGGCGGAGGCCCTTCCAGATCAGGCAGCCTGAGCCAGCCTGCCCACCGGCCGAAGGTGCACCAGAGAACCAGCCAATCCCAGCCCACGTCGGAAGGACTGCTCAGCCAACCCATAGGCTCGTGGGAAATATCAAAGCATTTTTCTTAAGCCACTATTTTTTGTTTTGTTTTTGTGT